GTGAAATATTAATTGACCATAAAACAAATTTTGGTCTGGATGTGAATAACTGTGTGACGCATTTGACGCACAAACTGTCGTTGTTGGTCTCTCTGATGAGGCACGCAGCTCAGGTGTGTCTATTCGCCTCGACAGCCCCTTCTCTGGACGCGTTGATTTTTACGAATAACAGACAACACGAAGGCAGCAGGTTGATATATTCGCATGTGTTCCACGTTAAAAAATGAAGGTACCAGAGGAGGAATCGATGAGTGATATTCTGAAAAGGTTAACTGGCGAGTCTGCGCTGCCCGTGTACAGCAACATCGAGAAGTTCAAGCGGGGAAGGGACGGCTTGTACTTCGTTGCCGAGGACTTCAGCGAAACTGTGAAAAAGAGAGAATTGGTCAACGCCAAGGAGCGACTGAGAGTGAGTGTTTATTAGAAATGACATGGTACGAGTCACTAATAAAAGTTTGCCGACATGTTTCCTCTTTCTCGGTTCACCTGAGAAAAGAAACCGTCGACGAACTTTTTAGCTAACGTTAGCTAGCACGTTAGCTAGCATGTAGCTACACCTGCTGTAACCGTTTTTTTCTGAAATGGAGCTTTCTGTAAACGCTTTCAAATTTATTGGGACCTTCGTTGTATTTGGCCAGCATCTCCACAAGCTGCAATAAAAAAGGTCAGCCATTATATGTCTATATGATGTAAGCTCTAACCAGCTACATTCGTCAGGGGCCTCATAAACTTACCACCTGGGATAGATCTGGTCTAGTTTCATGTTTTTTCAATCAGCTTGGAAGCCACATGAGTAATAACTACACTGCAGTTAGCCTGACAACAGAAGAAGTTGTTATTGCAGCAACTATTATTGCAACAAACACTGGATTAAGAGTTAATGTAACACTCACAGGGGCCTAGAGTCCATTTGAATTGCAAATGCTGTAATCTGCAGATCTGAAAACTGCACAGTGTTCATTGTAATCAAACAGTGCAAACAAAAACATGTCAGCACCCCATGTCTTTTGTTTGTATTATGTGCTGTTTTTTTTCTCTCTCATAAACACAGCTTAAATTGCTGCAAGCCATTATGAAATCATGACAAATGTTGCTGATTTAAGCCCCGTAGGACTCTTGCCATCAGCACAAACTACACATGGGTGGCAAAAGAAAAAGAAACATAACGTGTTTTGGTAAGGTGAGAAGGCTCAGTGCATTGGTTTTCCAAGTCAGAGTACCAGTCTTCCAAAAGATGTTTACTCATTTGGTGTTTTGATGGTGGTAGAGAGGATAAGTTTAACACATCAGTCCAAAATCTCATCTCAGTGTTCAAATTGATATCATTTACATCCTTTTTATAATCAACAAACCAGTTCATTACCCCTTGTGGCCTATGAATGGAGGCATTAATCCTGAAAGAAAGCACTCTGATTGGGCAGAAATGTTTCCTCGTAGATTAAAGGTGATCACTCAGAACACCATAGTATTGATATGCAGTGACTCTTACCTGCAAGGAGGAACCAAGTCATGCAGCAAAATTATTCCAAAAAGTAGCAGAGTCCCCAGGTCCCATCACTATTGGATCAAGATTTTATTATTTTAGTTGTTTTTTTATTTATTGTCTGTAATTGTTTTGGCATGGATTATGGTTACATCCAGTAATGTTAGAACTATGCCACATAGTTGATCTATAATTTCAGCCTCTTTTCTATGCAGATCAGGAACTTGAATACCATGTTTTCCCGCTTGAAACGCATGGTGCCACTAATGCGACCAGACCGAAAGCCCAGCAAAGTGGACACACTTAAAGCGGCGACAGAATACATTCGATTGCTTGTGGCAGTTTTGCGGGACACCGACAATGTAAGTACTGCATTCAGCAGGACTCTGTCAAATGATAAGTGTCCTCTGTTGTTTTCCAAAGGTAACACTGCCACTTGTTTTGAAATGTTGATTAGTGTTATTTTCTGTTTCTCAGGATGATGGCAGCGGGACTGATTTCCTAAAGAATGCAATCACTTATGGTCAGACTGAAGGCCTGGGCCATGACCTGTGGCGAGTGGATGATGTGAGTGTTGTTTGTTTTTTTTCCACCAGCTTGGTGGAAAAAGGGTGTGGGAGGCCAAGCTTTTGGTCAGGACTAACAAGGGCTCACATTGCAGCTGCAACGAACATGCAATATATGCAGAGCTGATGTGCTGTAGAATTGATCTTTTTTATCAAATACACCTGCAGTGGACATACAGCATAGTGCTGTAGCTTAACAAGATGGCAAGCTTTCAGTTTGGGATTATTGTGTCTTCAGTTTGTGCACCCAATACAGCATTGTGACAGTTTTTCAATGTGTGTGTAATATAGATGAGTTTATAGCTAGTACTAGGACTAGTAGACTCTGTAAAGAATAAAATTACTAAGCAACCATCAGCTAGTGGCTAATGGCAAATAAATGTCGATGGGACAAATAAAAGCCCAAACTGGAGGTCCTGTTTGATACAAAGCTGTAATTTCCTGTATACCAGTAGTTTAACTTATAAATATATGTAGACACATTTTGGCCCATTTCAGTGTAAAAGTACAGCACATACAAAAGATGTAAATTACAGGTTGCTTTATTTTTGCAATTGCAATATTTCATGTTTCTGTGGTGCAATAGGCACGCTGCTCACACACCAGGTTAATTGGTTATAATGGAAACACAGTGTTGCAGCAGCCGCATTACACATTCAGTGTAGCCATGGGGCATTGCTTTTTTTTTTCCTGCCAAGTCCATCCACTCAGGGAGTTTAATCTTTTGCCCTCAGGTCATCATTTCAGGACACCTGTTTGGAAGACTTATAGACTCATGTCTTGTATATTCCTCGTGCTACTGATATGCTTAATAGAAAACATCCCTCTGGCTGCATCTTTGCTTTTACTTGGCACATTTGCATGTTTATATTTTGTATGGATTCTCATTTTCTGCATTACCTTGTTGTTATTTTCCCACTTGTAGGTAAACACCCTTCTCTTTTTCCCAGTGGAAATAAGATAAAGATATCATATCATTGTATCTATGATTTTTAAAATCAGGTAGACTGTTCCAACAACTCAGCAAAAAGAAGAAAAGCTGCCTTACCAGGAGTTTTTATCCTGCACTTTAAACCTGTTCAGTAGAACTCTGGGGCAATTCAGGCTGGAAGTGGGCTAGTGCAAGACCATTAAATGCTTTAATCTACTGAACCCTGAAATCTGCCGGCAGTTTCAAAAGGTGTTATTTTTAAAACATTGTCAAAATCACATTACATATCACAGCCACAAACTGTGAAAACAGCTTTCTCAAATGATGTGCGGTTCCCACGAGAAAATTATCCAGTTCAAAGGTTTAAATCGTGATATTTCATCAAACTATCTTTGCTTTACTCATCTCATTTACAAATTCCCCTTAAATAAACCCTTTTAATCAGATGCTGAACAAAAAAAAATAAATCTGTGCTTATCAGTGCTACCAAAAAATGTTGATTAACCCAAACCAACCAAAACATCTGGGACTGTAGATTCTGTGTACACAGAGCAGAGAACTGAGAAATATGGAACCAACTACTTGTATTTTTCTGGGAACTCTTTCCAGTGGACTGTTGATTTATTTGCTTTTTAGAAACAGGCTGCTGAGCATCCAGAAGAAAGTCCATTTAGCCACAAATGAAGGGTCGTGGAAAGTGGTTCAATTACTTTTAAGTTTTTTTGGAGAGTCTTACCTGTAATAATAGTGTAGCTAAAAAGATGATTGTCTGGCAAGTGGCATAAATGTTTTTCTCTGCAAGAATGCCTTTTTTTCAACATTGGATTTGTACAGTGAGCTTTTATTTTAATACCCTGGTAAAATTTACTGAGGTCTTTTGGGGTGCAGGGTGCGCCCCTGAGGACTTTTTATGACTCTGTGGTGGCATCAGCCATTGTCTATAGAGTGGTCTGCTGGGGCAGCAGCATCTCAGCTGCTGACAGGAAACTTGATCAGCTGATCAAGAAGGCCAGCTCTGTCCTGGGGAGCACTCTGGACCCAGTGCAGGTGCTGCTGGACAGTGACTCCCACCCCATGCACGACACTATGAGGGCACTGGACAGCTCCTTTAGCGACAGACTGCATCTCCCCAGATGTGTGAAGGAGCGGTACCGCAGGTCCTTCCTTCCTGCTGGTATCAGTCTTTATAATCAGCACTGCTCCCAACAGACCACACAAGCACTCACATAATGACAGTTAGCCAACTGTCATGTGCAATAATACTCAAGTGCAATTCATTCATGCAAATATTCTTAATTTTGTGTTCTTGGTATCCTTGTGTTCTTCTGTTTTTTTAAAATTTATATTGTATATATTCTGTATATACTTTGCCTCTTTTATAGTTCTCTTTGGTTGCTTTTCTTACTGTCACTTGGCTGCAGTGACATTGCAAATTTCCCCTTATGGGACTAATAAAGGATATTCTGTTTTATTCTATTTAAATTTAAAGTTTTGGATAAGGGTAAAGTGTAGATGAGTTGGTTAATTCAGTGGTCTTAAAATTAGATTTCTTCAGTCACACTTTCAGGATATATAATTGGATCAGTAAATGTACAGGTTAGTGATTGTTCAACCATTTTATTTTAACAGCTAACAGATTTTTCCTTTTTTCTTGTGTTGACAAATTTAAGTTAGGGCGATAACTAGACACTAGATGAATCGATAAGCATACTAGGTTTTTGCTGTAATTTTATGAACTTCTTTCTTCCTGACAGTTGCTGAACATGTCAGAGGAACGCATTGAAGATGGATTCACAATGCCTCGAGAACCAGCAACAGAAGACGGCGATATGACCCGGCTGGTGTTGCAACATTGTGTGATGCCTGCATACCAGTTCATCATTCAAGTAGCGCCCGACCAGGCTTCGGTAAATCATTAACTTGCCTACCTAATATTATGCCTAATTTTCTGTTTGGTGTCAACTACACTCTTGCTGATGCTGGCCAGGGAGATGTTGCAGGGCAGCAATTAAGATGAACTTATGATGTTGGTAAGGATTCAGTATTTAGTCTGTGTATCAAGGGAAACATCCTCAATCATGATTCAGAGAGGGGAACTGTTAAGATATTTGTCAGGGCTGTACATTTTCTTTTAATGTTCAGGGAAAGGTTGTAAAGGTTTAGTTTATTTAAAATCATTTAAATAACATGCTTCCAACCTACCTAACCTATGCTTATTATAGAATGGAAAATAAATACTTGGAAAATAAAGCTATACGTATAGTTTTTAAGTAAGTCAGTATTTTTCGCAGAAAAACAAATAAGCCAAGATTTACATTTTAAATCAACTGAAAGTAGGATCTGATTAGAAATAGAGTTCCATCCTCCTTGAAAAATTCTCATTGTATTCATGTATGAAAAAGAAGTAACATTGGTTGCGTTCATCAAGACAGTCCATATTGTTTACATGCAGGCTTCTTTTACTGGGTTGAGCAACAGGAACTGGTTCCAACCTAGAATCCTGTTCCACAATTCAGATTCCACCGGAATCCTGACTTTCTTTTTAAGTTTCAGTCCTGCTTATGGGTCCCTAAAAACTAATGCCAATTGAACATTACATTATTATTACTTGTGCATTGATGTAAAAACAGGATCTTACTGTCATAGTGACCTTAACCAACTGTGCCTGAAACTATCCAAATCAAGAATTGTTAAAATACAAACAGTCCTCAACCCTACATGCAAAGCTTTTGTATTTTTTGCTATCAATCATTTATGCAAATAGTACAATGTTGTTAAAATACAGCAGAATGTAATGGAACTTCTGTTGTAATCTTTTTGGTCAAGTATGTAGATGCATGCTATTTACTTTTGAGGGGCAATATACGCCCATATTTTTCCATGTAGTTGCAGAGAACATTAGGGGAATTAACCTATTATTATGCGTACTTTCAACATGACGCCTAACTAGCAGATGCATACATAAAATCTTATATTTGAACTTGAATAATCTCAGAGGAAATTATTGTGCCAGATATTGCTTTTCAAATGTACAGCATAGGGGCCAAAATAAGACAACTACTTGGACTTACATGTACAGGGTTACGGTTATATAATTTCTTAACAAAACATCATCCTGCTTTCACAGACTCTGATGAGGATTTCCCTCAGACAATTCTTGCAATGGCCACATCCAGGATAAATAGGACTTATTTCACAAGTTGCATAACCAGTAAATAAATGTCATCTCCATACACATTCACAAGACAAAGGTAAAGAGAAAGGGGTGAGGAAAGGTGCCATGGGGTATCCATGAATACAGATGGTGAGATGGAAAAAAAACAAAAACATTCTCTCTCTGGCTAGCTGCTCCATATCCTTGTGAAAAGCTCTGTCATTGTGTTCACTGCTGTGGATGGTATGTAGCCTCTTCCATTACAGAGGTGAAATGGAGAAAATTGATTCTAATGTAATAAAATGGGCATATCTGTTGGGTATGTATATTAAAGTATCTTCTCCAACCTTTTCATCTTTCGCCACTGAGATATTTAATTAAAACATAGAAGTTTTGAGCATTACAAATTGACTGATTCAATGCCAAAGAAATTCCTGTAGCTATTAGACTTATGCATGTAAAAGTGAGCTAAAATCCTTGATGTTTTTTCTTTGGTGTTTTGACTTTAAATTTTACCCTGGGCATCTTATGGCAGTAAGAGTTGTGACTAAAAATCATTTATTATCCCTGTTTTATTACCAAGGTCAATTAATTACATAATTTAGTCAAAAGACTAAGTAACTGCAAAAATCTGTTGTCAGTTTGTTTAAAAATTGTGCAACCTTTCAAACAGAAAATAGCCAGCCTTTATGTACAATTTTTAAAGCAACCCTGCAAACAATAGGCAATCAGACATGTTTAATTTAAGAAACGATCTGTCAGAAAAACACTGCAATTAGAACTGACAATCAGCACAAAGCATTTGATTGTCTTCAGTGTAGTCCTAACATTTGAAACATTCACACTATCCTCATGAGTGTCTCATCATCAGATTGCATAGTTTGAAGTTGAAGGTGAGGACGTTTAGAGCCAAACAAAATGTTTTTATTTTTATAATTCCATTTTGTACATGCCGTCTAGCAGGCTTGGCAATTGATTAATCCCTCAAGGCTCTACCTCAACACCTTGAGACAGATATTTGCACTTGCTGCCCAATCAGGAGGTAGTTTTAGTTTTGTAGGATATGTGCTGCTGCATTCTTGGGGTCCTATGAGGTTGTCTGTTGTTGACTCCTTCCCCACATGTGAGCTCAGAAGTCTTAGTAATGGTGCCTCATTGCTAGCTAATCCCCCACAATACTCTCTGCTTTCCAATGCAGAACTGCTTGTGCACTGGGTGACCCCTCCTCAGGTCACTGCAGTTGTCCATCTCATTTAACGGTAACTTAAGGTACTACGGCTAACTTACAACCATGCATATCCTTATTGGTTATTATATCTTTAATCAATTAAATTATTAAAAACAGTTAAACAACTAACAGTTATTTTTTATCATCCCTGGTCAGCACATGCAAGTATGCTGATCACGTGACTGCAGGACCTTCCACTAGATTTGATAGACAACTGGCTGACCCATGCCTCATTGCTATGGAAAGCTGGGGCTGTGGGGATGTTTTGATTCAACATGTGCACCTGGGCTTTGGTATCATTTTTTGAAAGATGAATTTTCAGCCAATTCATGTCTATCAGAGGAGCCCATGAATACGCTGCTACAGCTGGTTCAGCTGGTTGTAATCAGCACCCTCAGTGAAAGCAGGAGAGTGATGTCTCCTGGGGCTGATATTAGCAGCTTAATCTGTTGTGAGTCTGGGGGCTGCAGGAAATTAGAAATCTTAAAGGTGGTTTGCACAACTCAAGGTTCAGTAAGCCTGCCTTGGAGAGATATCACCTTTTTGGAGTGTACCCAGCCGCCTCTGCTAACGGGGAATATCTGCTGCTAGGGGACAATGCCACAGTGCAATCCTGGCTACATACAAGTGTTCATGACTGCATCCCTGACTAGCTGGGGTGGAATGTGCCATCAGGCCAGGCAATGATGGGGACAGTGTAGTCTGGATTAACTCCACAGCTGTGTCAAAGGCACAAGATGATGAGATCAGACAAAACCAAAGTGGTAGCTTATCTAAACAGACTGGGAGGAGTGAGGTTCCCTCAACCTCAGCAGGCCACCAGCTCATTTAGGACCTGTCACATCTTGCAAGACATAACCCTCTGATCTGACAGTGCTTCACCTGGGCTGTAACTGATCTTTTTATGTGTCTGCTACACTGCATTCTCGAGTTTCTGCTGTGGTTTGTACAGTAGTCACACTGCATCAGCTGTTGGAATTGGTGAGACTGGAAGTGTTGTCTCGTTACCAGTGCTTATACTGCCACTCTACTCTGCTAGGAGAGTTGGAGAGCTCTCATTTTGTCTGTGGTCTTACAGTGGTGAGGAGGACATGCACCTTGACAGTTTGCACCTTGTGCAGATACTCTGTGACATAAACGCACTGCAATCCCAGGAAGGTCTAGCCAGTTGTTTGCCTGCTCAGGAGGCTCCTCTGTAAACTCAGCAGATTGTTCACTGGATTTTCAGTCTGCAGCAGCTGAGGTCATGGGTGTCACAACATCGGCGATCCTTTTTTTGTTTTTTTTAGAGATTTGAAAGTGGAATGTAGTTGCTTAGCTGCATTCGCCACATAATTTGAAAAGATTGCGATCTCTGAACTGCTAGGTGAGTGGTGCCTGAGTGTCAGACATACAGTCACTTTGATTTTTCTCCTCGCCCCCTCGACAGTTTGGGCTGGATCAGGTAGGTGTGGTTCCAGGGGATTCACCTATAGCGAAGACTGTTAGTGGGCTGTACACATGCTCAGGCTCATAAAAAATGGAGTTATGTCCAGTAAGTGCTGTTTCCCACACTGCTGTTAACAGAAATGATGTGACACACTGTTAAGACTTTACAGTAGTGTGGATGTGTGTGTGTGCCTGTGTGCGCCTTACAAACAGTGAAAACTCAGTTAGGTTCAGATGAAGAAATGTGTGAAAAGTTGAAGCGTTAGCACAAAAGATTTCTCATCGCTTGTCTGTCCTCAAAAAACCTAATAAGTTATGTTTATAGAAAATAATTGTACTGCTTCTTTGATTTTTATTTCATGCCTGTTTTGACAGATTAAAACATCAGTAAGAACTTGGATTATATCATTTTCCTCTTTATTCAACAGATGTCTCAAACCTGCTGATTGCTGTTTAGAGCAGATGGCTTGGACCAATATCGGAAACCTGCCAGGTTGGATTTTTTAAATATATGATTATAAAATAATTTTTAGGTGAAATGCAAATCACGGAAATACTGAAAGTTGGGAACATTTTTGAAGTTCTAGCAGTGCACAGCATATGTAAACAAAAATGTGCCAGGGTCCTACAGCCAAAACACATGTTTTTACAATCTGGCAGTATTTATCAAGGATTATAATTAAATGGATATTAGAATTCTTGTTTTTATTTGTCATAAATAGCTAAAGGAGTTAAACACAAATATAAACGTTAATCCACTAGTATACGAATGTTGCCCCCATGTGGTCAGAATGATTGAGAAATTCTATCTCTGGACAATTTGAATAAAACAAGCACAGAAAACATTTTGACATTTCACAGTGGTAAAATCATCACTATCAGTGCTACTAGTCACACCATGTCTGCTGTGAACTGTCAATGCTTTATTTGGTGTCTTTTCAGTGCGATATCTCATTCACTACAGTTGTTTTTCTTTTTCTTTTGTTTTTTTTTTTTTTAGCAGAGGAGAAATATTGACATGTGATTACTCCTAAGTGGTCCACACTGCACTGTAGTAGTTTCTTGGTGTCTTCTCACTGTCACCGCTACTCCGACAC